TGTATCCCCCTGGAATAAACTACCCCCGTTGAAGTAATAGAAATTCTTGATGTCTTTTGGTATAATCCCAATTTCTTTCAGCATGATACCAACGTATACATCCTCCCAGGGAAAGAGAGGTGTCAGTAGAGACTGGAGGTACAACCTGTTCACCAAGTCCGCGGACATGATGTAGCCAAGCCCCACACAATAGTCTGGGTACGTTGATTTCGAGTAGATGTCTTTGGGCACGTAGAATTTCTCCCATTTATCACGGAGCACGGGGTACGACTTGGCCAAGCGGCCAGTGATGAGCACTCTCCTCGGCGCAGTGTGTAGGTACGCCAGAATCTTTGGTATGTTGACGATGATATCATCATCGGTTTTCATGACGTAGCGGGCGTCGGAGCAAAAGCGGCTGGCCCACTTGAGTCCCATCACGGTCTTGGTGGTCAGGTTCAGGTAGGAATCCAGGAAATCTTCCACGATTAGGTCGTCATACTCTTCTACCTCCCTCTGCAGGTCGCTAGGTAGAGTTCGTCCGCTGGTAAGGTTCGCGACTCCGAGAAGGAAACGAACCCTGACCTCGGCGGACAGAGTCGTGCTCCCGCGCGGAGCTCCCCACGTCTCCCTGATGACAGCACGCCTCTCGTTGTTGTTCGGATGAGAAGTCACAAGTACCAGCAAGTCAATACGGTCGTGTGTCTGACAAGTGGTTGTGGCGGGGTTGACCAGGTATCTGTAATCGTGAGGATCTATGTAAGATAACCACAGAGCATTATCCAGAATGCCACGGGTAGAAGGTTTCGATATGCGGGACGGGACGGTGGCATCCCGGTGTCGGCGCGGTTTCATATCGATCTTCCTTACTACAGGACTTTGTGTCATCTCTCCGTCATCTAAGTTTTCTTTCCAGGTTTCCCCGGCATCCGGTTTCGGTACATCACGTGATACTAGTACTGGTTTCTTGGTGTAATACCGCTTCTGTGCCATAACAGCCTTTGCTGTCAGCCTGCCTCTTGATCCATTGATGTACCGATCAATGCAGACTCGATGTAGTCCCTTTGATGTCTTCAGAAACTTACACGATTGTCGATAATCCACGTTCTTGTATTTCTCTTTTCGCACATCCACAGGCGACCTCGATCTGGACAGTGTGTCGTCTGTTTTGTGAGAGGTTTGCAATGCCTTGGAATCCTTGCGGTTCTGGTTCGTATCAGTCGCTAATGTTTTTTCAGACAAACTTTCAGGTTTCTGTTTTATTTGCGCCATTTTCTTGACGGTGTCTAAAGATTGATTTGGAAATTGAGATCCCTGCCAATGTGGTCGGCGTTCGTTTAGGAACGGTCCCCTTGCCATTTTATCCCGCAAATAGAACTCTTGATATCTTAACCTCTTTTGAGAAATCGGATCCACTATGAGGAACTTCCAAACAGCGAAATACACCGGCAGTATCAAGGCCGCTGCAGTGATTAGCAACAGTTGTAGGAAAGTTGTCCGCACGATGGCCATGATCGGTGCTGAAAAATGCTGAAGACTCCTTTACGTATCGAAGAGCCACGAATCTCCGTTTAAATATCCTACTATGTAGGCTGGTCGATGAATAATACGTTTGTGATACAGTGGTGAAATGGAATTGGAGCTGTCCCTATCTCTATTATTTACTGGAGAAAAGCTGAAGATTCAGAACAGATCATCCCCGATGCGAAGAAATGTCTGGAAAATCCTTGTCGATCCATACTGCCAATCCATTCCGGCTATACAGATTGCAAAAGGTGGAACATTCAGGAAAATAATACTCGACTCTCCCAAACAAACATCCAAAATGTTCAGTTATAGATGAAAACCTTTCCAGCTGCAATGTCGACCTGTTTTTCTGCAGACTTCAGAAAGCACAAAAAAAAATTCTCAATGGATCAACATCCCCTTTTTTCCAATTGTGTTGACAACACGTTCAGCTCTTCCCCTGCAAATAAAAAAGAGCAAACGTAATTTTAAGTGCTTTTCAGATTTCACATGCTCGGAAAGGAGATGAAATGGAACATGTAGCAGCTTATTTGGCCAAACGTGCTCAGCACATCCGGCTTAAGAAATTGATTTGGAAGTAAATTTGGGACGGATATTGACACTCAAAATTTTACGTAATTACGGTTTCCTGGTAGGAAGTGTTGTTAATTAAATTTTGAGGGGGAAAAACAGCAAATGTAAACATATAAGATATTAAAGGTGAAGGCAGATATTTATTGGTCATTTTTTTTTAAAGAAGTGGTGGAGAAATCGATAACAGTACATTAATGTTTCAACTGCTGACGAACACTGTTGCTTTTTGATAAACAATGGATTAAACGTCGTTTATTTTTGGCCCGAATGCCAAATATTTTCAAAGTAGCTCAAGCAGTACGTGCAATCATCGCATCGTCTGATAACTTCAGCGCATGTGTGAAGGCACCTGTGGCTTATGAATAAATGAACTCGGGGATAATAATCATCAAGGAAATAATGGTTCGTCTTGCGATGTTCTTCTATCAACGTTACTTCCAGCCTGATGTATCGAAAACCAAAGATATCAACAATGTACGTATAAGACATCACTAGAATTTCGACGGACCGATCAGCTCGTAAGAATAGTAGAATAATTTTGCGTGTCCACCTTACAGCACGGAGGAAATTTTTGGGCGCCCCTCCATTGTAACCTCAAGCCCCCCCCCCCCCCGGGCCCCCCACACGCCCCCTAGGATGAGAATCCTGGCTAGTCACACATCCAATTATGCACCTGCTATATACAGCCCATCACGGGACTGATGAGGAATCTCAAGCAAGTCAAAATTTAGACTGGCAAAGTGCACAGGAAAGTGGAAATAAAAACAGTGATGACACACGCGATATACTTATCTTGTATTAAGGGCAGCAGGGCAGGTGCGACAGACTTACCTGAGTAGAAAGGACACTATATTATAGGCCTAATAAGTACACTATAAACTGGACAAACTGTGTTCAAACTTTAAACTCCGCCCACAGTGATGGTCTTGTGCTTTTTAAAATCCACTCTTGGTCGAGGCGTTTGCAAATTGTTAGATATTAAATAGCCACTGCGTTTGTGTTTTGTTTGTTTGTTTGTGGTTTTGGAGGTTTGAGTTCCACCTTCGACCCTCCTACCTCATTACAGTTCAATTTAGCTATATTTCTAGAGGACCTAACTTATTCACAATGTTGTTATGGAAGCCTAAAGGGTCTCAATGCCTTATTAATATCTTTTTTTTCTTTTAAATTCAACTAATAAGTTTGGGTTATATGTTTCTCTTTTAATGTGTTTCGACAGATAATAACACCGTCTACCACTGAAGAAATATGGGGAAAAATGTTGCAACCTGAGTGACACCACTTCCGCGATTGTGTACAAAGTCCATGGAGAGTCAAGAATTGTTTTTTTTTGGACGACCTTCATTGAGATGATATATGAAGAAAAAAGTGGTGTTGCGGGTTGCAACATTTTTCCCGACTTCTTTTTCAGTTCTATTTCCAACCCAATAGTTATAATTATCCGATGACACACTTTAATACTTGCACTTACCTCGTCATACAATGGCTGACAATCCTGCGTCGTGGTGGTTGTTGTTACTCGTTACTGTCAACTATATCAGAACTATTATTAACGAGTGATACTTGCAATACGAATTCACATACTGGCGTCACTAGAAATACATCAACAACAGACACCCACGGGCGACTGTGTATGAGTGAAGAATCAAGACTTGTGGGAGGATGTACACCGTTGTTCTTATTGATCGAACCCAACTCGCGCGCCCCCTTGGCCATCAACTATTAATACACCCTCGCTTTATTATGGTGCATTCCGAATCGATTATTAAACAATGATGTTTGAATGGAGGCTGAGGAAATCGACATTTACTGAGCAGGTTACACTAAATTGCATTGTGCAACACCAATGTTCAACATCTGACGGTCTTTTGTCCAGGATTGTCCACTGCCTATAGTATAAGGGTGCAACCCTGCAATAAAATTCCCATAGGCACTGGGCGTTTGCTTCAAAATTCTGGATGAGGTAGAAGAGGCCCTCTAGTGACCTACCATTGGAATGCTACAGATGCGGCCTCCCCAACTGGTCTATTTGAGACTACCATCCGGGACGTTTCAAACAACAGCAATATTAGCCACGGGCACTCGACCTCTAGCTCATGCCCACCTGGCAATCTTGGTTTTATTGTAATCATTATTAAGACAATTCTATTTAATACATAATTAATCGGTGAGAAAAACGTATTTTATCTTCTTTTTTACCTGCACATATATCGAGAGCATGGATTCTAGACAAATACTTAACATACGCGTGCCGTTGATCAACAAGGCGAAGGAGAATCACACTTCTGACAAAATCTCATAATCAGACGTGGGAAATCAATAGCGAAACGTAGGCCCATTCTTTGAAAACGTTATACATTGTATAAACATCTCAATCTAACAACCATTATAACAACGTTATGGACGTTCAACAATTAATTTACTTATACACTAAAAAGACAAAACCCACTAAAAAGACCAAGCACTCAAATCGTCAATATTACCAAACGTCTTTAGAAAACACCATACTTGATACATTATGTACGCACTATTTCCATCGGTTCCGTTGGAAATCGTTAAAGCCAGAGTCTATCATTTGCAACTATCCAAAAAATAACTGGCGTAATTATTGTTGAAAAACATACTTGGTTGAAAGATAGTAAGGGGACTAAACTCCCTGTGAAATTTTTCTTTCTGGCAAGCTGTCATTTTGAAGAAATCAACGAAAGAAGGCCTTTCCAACGGTGCGTCTTAAGAAGCACCGTAGGAAATTCAAATAAGTAGTTCGTTTTGTTATTCGCTGGATTCAGGCCCAATTCAAAACATGATTCGGCAACTTTTGATTTGAAATCGAGATCCTAGAATGTTGTTTTTTCTCGAAAAATGCAGCTGAAGCTAAGCTGAAACTTCATCAGATTGGTTGTTCAGCATCCTTCTTCAGATATTGAGCACTTTTGTTGCTTCAAACGAACAAAATGCACAAATTACGAATGATGGACTATACCTTTAATGCGAATGATTAAGTTTTTTCCAGGACAAAGTTGATTACACTTGCCACTGAATTAATAAGAGCCAACAGGAATGTATCAATGACTGAATTCTATACCTGCTTTGTATCAAACGTTAAAGATCGTTTTAAACGGGTGAGTTTAAATCTCCTTTGGGAGTTTCCTTGACTTAGATCACTATCTGTATATTCAGATCGGTCTGTTCTGTAGCAGATGCATCTTCCTCTGGTGTCGATTTCCTCGGTGGGTTCTTGGTTGCTATGTACTCCCGCAAGAAAGACAGAGTGGCCCGCTTTCCACACTGTGATAAGAACAACACAAATTTCCATGGAAACTCAGTCATTTTTTTATAAGGATATTCATCAAAGTTCATTTTATTTCTCAAATGCTTGAGGAAGCCTCTTCAAAGTTGATGTACACCATTCGAAAACATTCCCAAAACGAAACTGCCGAAATACATGTACTTTGAATTATCTTACTTGATTGTAAGCAAATAATAGGCTCAAGCTTCCTTTAAAATAATTGTTGTGAAATCTAGTGTGCTGTCATTGTTCAAGAAAAGAGGAATCACTGCAGTTGTTTCAATTCCTGGGTTTTTTTTAATACTGCCCCAACTGTCTGAAATTTAGTTCAGTTTGCAATCGGATCGGTTTCATAATTATCTGTGAATGATTTTTTTTCCGAGTAACGAGCGGGATCATGTACAACGAGAGGGTGTAAAGTATGACGGAAACCTTGCTTTGCGTCGAGAAAAATGAAGATAAATTATTCATTTTCATAGTTTTCTCAAAAAAAGTAGACCCGAGCTGAAATTTCGACAGGTAAGTTTTTTTTAAATATTCTAATTCAGTTTTATTAAACTGTTATTCCCTGTATCGACAAAGGTTCCCTTTTTTGACAATTGATGTTTCCATTACTTTTCATCTTTTAAAAACTGCCTTTTTTGATTTTACGGAGGCCAAGTGTCCGGAGAAATAAGCGTGTCTACATTTCACCACGGATGGGCAAGTACCCTCTTTCAAGACTCCCCCCCCCCCATAAAAATGACCGTGCTACGCCACTGGGTCTTATCCACGTACCTGTATCAGGAAGTTTTTATCGGCCCGCTCCGAGTTCCAATCAAAGGATTCTAAGTATTTTGTGTTGATGCCAATGGTACGACTGTAATCGGTGTTCTAAAGGGGAAAAATAGAAAATAACGAATGGTCAGAAGTAATATGTATACGAGTTATGAAAGCCGTCTTTCCAAATGCGCGTTTTTAGTCCATTCTGTGTTCGCTGCGCGCGTGGTTGTCTGTCATTAAGAAGTGGCCTTAGCACGCAACGAACAAGGTACCAGCCTGAAATTTCCCATGTGAAAAGGTGGTTTGACGACTTGGCAAAGTTTCTTACCCTGGTTGTGATTCGCTTAACGTTGAGCAGCAGCGTCTCTGCCATGGTGGCAAACAAGTCTGTCACTCCCTTGATTTCACACCGTTCATACCCATTCATTGTCTGAAGGAGGTTTATTCCTCGCTTTGCTGCTTGTTCGACAACCTCTTGGTAGTCTATCTGATAGGTTGGTATTGGGGAAAAGACACACAGTCATTTCATACAACAGTAGGCCTAGTTGTCTCAGTGAACATTCTATTACATTAATTTAAAAATATTGAGATACGTCCGTATGGCTATAACAAACCTTTGACTCATGCCACCTTGATACTTTCAGCGGCGGCGGAACGGTTTTCAAACTGGGGGGGGGGGGCATCACCAAAAACTCGAGGGTCACTTTTATTACCGCAAGAGGGGCACTTGGGTAAATGGGGGCAAGTGCCCCCCCCCCTCCCCCTCCCCTCCCCTCCCCGGTTCCGCCGCCCCTGGATACTATCGCTGTCTGTCCTATCTGGTCATGCGTTTCGGTTAGATCACCGAATTTCAAAATTGAATTGATCGAGCGAGCAACAAGCGCAACACATACCAAGCTTCCCATTTGTTTAACTTTAGTGTTCAATCCAACAGGCATTCTAGGCATTTGACCAAAAAATAATTGTATGTTTACCTTGGCATTATTATGTCTTATTCTAGTCATAAAAAACACATTCATGGCCACCGTTATACATTTGGTGTTTGATCACAATAGCCTACATGTAAATACATTAATGTTCGTGTACATGTCAAATCGAACTTCTTCTTTTTTGGACATATAGTAAACTGCAATTATGTTTCAAATAAAAGATCTCACCTGACCGTTATTGTCTTTGTCTACAACATCGAAGATAGCATCCGGGTCATTCTCACACTCAAAAAGAAGCTTTACGTCATCAGCAGACAAGGTCACGTTATCGTTCTTTAGAACAAGAAGAACTTCACAATTGAATACATGTATAATGGTGGTTATGTTCATGACCATTTGAGCATGGAGGACGAAAAGTGGATATCTGCTTTTCTGCTTTTCTGGTATAGCAGAAAGGCAGAAAAGCAGAAAATGGAATTTTTAAAAACGCTCAATCAAATTTTCTGCTATTTTGAAAACAGAAGAGAAAATATATTAATATATACACTTTTCGTCCGCCATAATTATTTTAGTAAAGAGAAGTTGAGTGTGCAGACCATTCCGTGTCCAACTGAAGCATGCACATTATGGTTACTGACTATGTAGAAAAAAATAATGCTTATTCAGCCCACATTACGTTTGTTTCAAAAGAGCTGGAAAAGGATGGCCTTCTTTCAAAATGTACAGTTCGGCACGCGGACAAAGTCGACTGCAACACTGACAAGTACTGATTAGAATAGAAGGAAGTTTCGTTAATAGAGTAGCTATGATTTCACAGACCTTCTTCCCCAGGGCATTGCGAAACTCCTCTCTGGAGATAATACCATTCTGATCCGTATCTGAATCTTTTAAAATCTTCATGAAGTTGTCCATGGCTTGATGCATGCCTTCCGTAGCTTGGCTGTGTCGTTCTTTCTTCTTTTTATTCTTTCTGTATTTTTAAAACACATTCGTTGAAGAAAGTCAGGTTAAAGTGGCATTACGGACTGGAATGCGTACAATTGGGCTACAAAAAAAAAAGCATTTTAAACGAAATTACATTAAATAGAAGGAGGTTAAGGAGCATTTAAATGTAGAATTTAACTGTCCACACAACCATCCTTTAAAACTCGGTGGTTTTGTGTTTAATATTATTGCGAGAACCATGCGAGAACGAATTTCAGGGTTGACAATTTATTTTGTCTCAAAAATCGAGCTGTTTAGTACTATTTCTGGTTCTAGTGTGGTCGTCTTCTTCGGACGTGTAAGAAACAACATTTGTGTGTTGGTGATTCGTCTGGTTCCCTGACCTGACAATTTCCCCCGACGCCCAGACATGTCTAAGGTCTATGTCGGGCCCCTCCGCGGTTATAAAATAAACATGACGATATTGACGGCCCTATTTCAAAGCTCGGCTTAGTTTCCGACTTCGCTTTATCAATTATAGCTTTTAATGTTCCGATCTAATTTTCAAAAACATACTTCATTCAGTTTGATATTTCTCAAAAGATTACGGGCTAACATTCGTCAATGTTTTCTTTGTAAAAAGCAACAACGAATGTTTACCCGTTATCTTAAAAGATAGAGACCCAATATCATCTTAGCAGGCGAAGCCAAAACAGAAACCACGCCAAATTTTCGAAAATCACGGTAACCGTCGCCAGATTTTACGCAGCTTAAATCTCGCCCCTCGTACAATCAGAACTACATAATTGATATAATAGATATATATTTGTATAATTGATATATATATTTGTATTGATATATTGGTATAATAGTGCGCGCGCATGGGTAGCGGCTACCTGACTAAGATTCATCACGAGTAGTCAGAATCTTTTGCTCTGGGAACCAGACTAATTCGTGCTGTGTGTAATTTATGTGACACACACGACGTGTATCGTACATTGAATGAAAACAACAGGAAATACGTATGCGTACCCCGTCGTGTCCAATGCTAACAACCGTTTTTTTTACCGTCGTTTCTCGGGAACGGTAAGACATTAGGTTAGTTTTCTTTCAAATAGACCATTAAAATAGTATAAGGAAACAATCGAAAACATGAAACTTTTGGGGATTTTAAGCCGTAATGCCCCTTTATATGGAGTACTGCATATGCACGGAGTCCAAACTGCAGTGTGCAATTGCTATCGCCAGCAATTGAGTAAAAACAACTGAACCTCAATTTGTAACAAGCTTGTGGTTTACCTGCTGATTTTACTATCGGGAAAAGCGATCTCTTCTTTACCGTAAACGGCGACTCTGTGGTCCAATGATTGCTTCATGACGTCTCGCTCGGCAGAAGAATACTGAAACGACATCAATGGGATTTGTTACATGTTTAGCCGCGGGATTTGTCATTTTGAAGAATTTTCCCGAAAGTCACAATGAAATATCCGGTCTCATTTTCTCAATCTGAACTACTGCTTTGATCCACAATACAATGAAATTAACTGATTTTCTTCACAACGGTTTACTGTTGAACTCATGACTTCTTACCAGGAGAACTCCCACTGTTTTTTCATTGAACGTTGAAAAACGCTCCGAGGGGTCCCATTCGTCACACCGCCCAACCAGACTGCCAAACTGAGCGAAGAAACTATCTGTAGGATCCATAGACAGAAACCATCCTGGAAGAAGGAAAACTTGTTGGTTTCATTTTTAATCCATGCTCGATTAGATCATAGTAAATATTTCACTTTGTGTTTAGTTTTACACGTATACAAATGTAATATTCGCCCAACTTTATATTTTCGTTCTGAGACCAAAACTATAGCATACGGAAGCCCGTTCGAGCCAGGTTTTAAACGTAAAACACATTTTTATTGCGAAATAACGCAATAGTATTGCGAATTAACGCAATAAAGTTATTGCGAAATAACGCAATAGTATTGCGATATAACACAGTCGCTTAAATTGCGAAATAACGCAATACTGTCGTGATATTCAGTTTGGCCTTAATTTGCCCATTTGGAGTTATTATTAATGCAGTTTCCTTCCGTCATTGCGTTTTTATCCATTGTGCTCTTGCCGTGGTACGGTTTTGATTAAACGGGAAATTGCGGTGCAAGTTGAAAACAAGTATGTTTGACCTTGTCAGAAAAACATTGACATAATAGAGCTCTCTGTGGCATGTGGGGGATCTATCCATTTTTTTTAAATTTTTGTTAATAAAACAGACTCAATATGTGCAAAAAGCACGAACGCATAGTTTAAGCAATTTTACCCATGCAATCGAATGAAACCAACATTAGACTGTGAATAACCATTTGAGTAAAATATTGCATCTACAGTGTATTGTTACAATGCAAGAGAGATTATCCTGATATAATTGCGTTTTAAGGAACGGGTTTTTTTTGGGGGGGGGGGGTGGCGTCAATTATACGCTCAATATTCCACCATGCTGAAGAAAAGAAATAAAGTTAACGAACAATAATTACATAAGAATAATTTTCCAACTTTAATATGTTTTCCACGCCAAATTCCCCCCTCCAAAAAAATTACATAACCGGTCCGTTCAATTTCAATTGATAAAGGATGCATTGCATCAAGGATCACTCTTGAAAACTGTATATTGATATGAATCTAAAAGTGATGTTTTAAGCGTGTTGGAGAAATGAAATTTGTTTTTAAATTAAAATCAAACCACTTTACTTATAACTCTCCATTTATTCTTAAAGACGTACTTTTAAGTATTGCGTTATTTCGCAATACTAATGCGTTATTTGGAAACAAATATATTATTTTTTACTTTGAAACCTGGCACGAACGGGCTTCCGTAATATCGCAATCGCTGCTGTAAAATATTCAAACTTGTGCGTTTTGGGGTGCTCAGACTCACCATCATAAACATGTATCGGGAAGTTGCACAATAAGCCGCCATCGACATACAGGTCTTCATGGTATTTCACCGGTTGTAACACACCTGTTTGGTCAAAAAGCAAAACATTTAGAAACTTTCTCAACAAAAAAATATAGCAAATTTGATCATTTTGCCTTGCTGTTTCACTTTTGTTTCTTTCCTTTACTTAACTTTTATTTGCTTTTCTTTTTGTGTTTCGTTTGAAAGAACTGGATGACGTTAGCTAGGCCAATTTTTTTTCAGTTGGCCATCAAGCAGGTCTGGCAGAGAGCCCGGGAAATTAGTCTCAAAACAATCTTTCAGTTGGCTTCTTTCAAGATCGCGCAGAACGCAGCAGTGGCGGTGCGTTGTAAAAAAAAATTTGGACTGAAACTCTGATCAAGTGTTGCGCATGCATACTTGAGGATTGTAAACGTTCAACCAATAAAACGGTAAAAGGAACTGGATTTCATAGAGTCCAAATTCCATGTGCCACATGACGGGCACGTGCATGGCTCTCGACCAATAGGAATGGGAAAACTGTCTTAGGTATTTATGAATATTTGTTTAATAACAATGTTGCCCCCACTTCCCCCACAAATCTTCTATCCTGCATTTGCAGGTCTCAATATAAAAGTGTTGTATTTTGTGTCTCGCTTACTGCTGTGGAATAAAATGACCAAATTACCAGGAATAGATGCAGACGCCCTCCCTGCAAGGCTGATTGGCATATCAGGCATCGTTTTGACATGGAAATATACGGCATCCATCAAATTCAAGTTGACAGAGACGGCGCACAGCTCTACACCACGGTCCTGGTAAAGCTTAGTGGGGAAATAACAGCACATTATGATATCAAGTTATATGTGAAACGTTTTGGGTACTATCAAAAAATGCAGAGAGATAATCTATCTCTAAAAACTCAGCTGCACAGATACCCCGTTATGGGTGATGTAGGGAACCGTCCCGGAGCAAAGGCGACCTCATGTGTCCTTTCCTAACTTTATGCATAACTATGTAGAAGTGACGTTCCATTTGCATTTATCTGGGTGATTAATTCCTTTGTAAAGCATTCTTTTGTTGATGACCTTCGTGCTTCTCGCGCGAGGACGGTTAACGCTTGTCTTCGTCAACATGAGAATATAGTTCTTAGGTTCATCGCTCATTGCAATTAATTCGGGATTATTATTGTATAATTGTAAACTTGTCCATCTTAATAATTGCAAGGTCCTGAAGGTATAGTTGTCTGGATGAATAATAGAGGTGATTGCTTTAGCGTAGATCAGACGAGTGACTCGGCAGCACATGCAAAATGTATACTTTCTCGGTCTTTTTGGAAGACTTCCTTTGACTGCATACATCATCACTGTACATATATTTTGCCGTTTCACCTACTGTGTGCATGCGTCAGCATGGCTTCTTCATGACTGCTTTGTGCAATGTGCAGTGTGGGATAGGGCACTCCCCCAATAAACCCCAGTGAATATCTTGTATTATATCCGCACACCCACAAGGTTTTCACGAAATAGATATATGGATTTTACTCAAAAACTAGAAATTTCCAAGGTATGTTGATGTGTCGCAAATGGTAGAGTTTTAGAAAAGGGATATTAAGTCCGGATTTCAGCCAAGGAAATTAATTCTGGTTAAAATAAGAGCATTTTGAAACTATACTTTCAAATTCGAAAACTTCAGTACACGAGAACAAAGAATATGTCTCCACAAGGATACAAATTTCAGTATAAATGGGTGTGTGTGTGTGTGTTTCTGGATTTGGTATTTTCCGGGCTTCTTAGTATTGAACTACCGCTGAAAATTGATTCATCTTATTAGGCACGTAAAAGGGACAGCTAGAGGGAGTATCTGGTTGCCAGGGAGCGACGTCAGATTCCCTATATACACTGAACTTATTATTGTTTCACGTTCTATTAGAATGAAACGTATATACTATGCAAACATCTCCTACTGTCCATGGACATGCACCGAAATACATTTACGATTTAGGTAGAAGCATGTCTCTGGTAATTCGACGGCGGACACAAATTCTTTGATACCACTCTCATTTTTGCATTTTAACCATGTATCATTGGACATTTGTCCACACCCACAAGCTGAAACGCCCCGCCCCAACCACTTAAAACGCCCCAACCACTTAAAACGCCCCGCCCACTTTACTCACTGCCCCTCTACAATTAACTCCCCCTCCTCTAGCTTAACCCTAAGGGCGGATTTTTTTAAAGTGACGTCGCCATAAAGGCGGGCATTGCGTACACAACCATCTTTTCCTCAAAATAATTTGGTTAAAGTGGTCAGTAATTGCCTCAGTTCGCACATCAGAGCATCTAGAATCCACATTTTTGGCCACCAAAACAAATTTGTTCTGGATCCGCCTTTGCTTGACCCCTTCCTTGATCTCTGCCATGTCTTGGGTTCTCAATTCAACATAAGCTGCAAACAAAGACCTACTTGTCTGAAGGTGTAGTTCCTATCGCCAGTCTTCTTGTAGACGCTGTCTGCGAACCACTTCTCCAGTCTTTCCCCGGGATGTGCTCCCAATTTCCGGACCATACCAAGCATTCTCCCAACGAGCCCCCATTTACCGTCTGTAAGCAAATAGATTCAGAAATATTACACGAATTCTCTTCGTCTGAACAAAACAAACGTCATCAATAAAATAATGAAAAGTTAACTTCATTTAAAAACAAACGATATAAATCTGGATTTTTCCTTCACTGGATCCTGCGAAAGAACGTTTTTTTCTTATTTGTTGTTTATGCAATATTGTGCCCTGCTTTGTGTAATGTACTGCAATTGTGCTCTATTTTGTTTTTGCTCTTTTTCTTACATGCTTAAATGAATCTCCGTGTATTTTTTTCCCCCATTTCTTTAATATTTTTTTTTGTGATTGCCAAATAACCGAACCAAGCCAATCTAATCAGACTTCAATCCATCACTCTTATTGTTGACAAATGACTGTTTTGGATAAACATCGCTGGCGATTCGTGGTTTATCAAAAACCTTTCATCAAAATGAGTCTTGTTTAAAGTTTACTATACAATAATTGCTACTGTACCAATCCTTTGCTCAAGGCCCTCGCCCGGGCGCAGACCACATGCATGAATAAGGTCAGGAAATAAGGTCAGGAAATAAGGTCAGGAAATAAGGTCAGGAAACTGCATTATTCATAAAGCGTACGTTTTACCGGTTACATGCAATACACACTTTAATAGATGGAGTCTTTCCATTGATTTTTTTTTTCAAAATATCGGAAACCCTATACAATGTTTAACGTCTTCTTGCATTTGACCAGCTCCATGGTCTGACCAAACAGGTTTTGTGCTCGTTTATAAAAACGTGCGCGTATGGCAGCTGCAATAACACTGCAGACATACCGTATACGTTTCGTGTAAAATCACCGTCCAAAAGCTCTTGAATTTCATAGGAGTCCATCCCAATAGCCAGAAATGTTGCTGCGGCACTCCCTGCGCTACTGCCAGCAAATCGCTTCATGTTCTTCATAAGATCCAATTCTTCAAACACCTACAGAAAATCGGAAAAACACAGGTAGTCTAGTAGGATTTTGAAAAAGGCTATAAGAATCAAGGGCCACTTGTTGGTAAAAGTTGGGAACTATGGGCTTTTCGGCATAATTCAGGTGTGCTGAATCCGATATTTTAATTTTTTCTACAGCGAACAAGCCCGCGGGTACCGGGGTGTTGTGGGTGCTGCAGCACCCCCAACTTTTTGGAGTGGGGTATTCATACGAACATGGTATCATTTGTACTTTATGAACTTTAATAAATGCAGTAATTTTTGCGCAGAAGTATTTTACTTTATAATTTCAAGGTTGCCCCAACCCAGCCTTGTAAATGAAAAGTGCATATTTGAAATCTGAAGCATTTACTCCTTTATATTCATACGAAACGAAGTAAACGATAAATAATTTTTTTCTGGTAATGAAACCAAGGATCCTCAAAAGTGAATGCCCCAGGCACTGTAGCTCGCAAACCCCGAAAAAAAAACGTAGAGAGAAGACAATGAGAAGAAATTACAGTTTTAGAGGTGGGAGGAAAACCCCAGAAGAATAGTCTGGGGAAAACCCACGGAATCAGGTAGGGACTGAAAATCCAATCCACATGTAGACCATGGGTGCCGATGCACAGCGCATTGAGCGCGTAAACGACATTGCGTTCGTCGCGTTTGATGCGCTTTTTTGTATCTGTCCTCCAGCACGTGACCCTCCCCGGTGCCGCTTTCCGTTTCGGTTATGATAGTTTTATTTTCTGCAAACTTATAAACATGTAAAGCTTTACATTTTGCAGGCCATTTACTCAAGAGCAAATGGTTTTTAGTAAAAGTGTTTGCTTAATTTTCATTCATACTGATGCGAGTAAATGCTTCGAAAGTGGTAGAAAAAGCAAATGCCATGCTTTATTCATACAAACATATGGTATCATTTGTACTTTATGAACTTTAATAAAAGCAGTAGTTTTTGCGCAGAACTATTTTGCTTTATAATTTCAAGGTTGCCCCAACCCAGCCTTGTAAATGACAAGTGCATATTTGAAATCTGAAGCATTTACTCCTTTTTATTCATACAAAACGAAGAAAACGATTATTAGGCCAAAAAAGGCTCTGGTTTCTGGTATGCGCGCGCGTCGCCATAGCCATGCGCGTCGGCAATGTAAGATGATGTCTTTCAATGTAGGATGATGTCTCAAACCACCAAACTCACTGGTTCGACTGGAATCCTGCTGCTGCACAATTTTAACGTGTTATCTCTCATAAAGTTATTTCTCATGTCTAAGTTTATTTCAAGCATGAAGAACAAAGGAAAATGGATGTTAAATACAGTTTTTCTGAGTTTTTTATTTTTTGCACTCCCCTTTTTGAAAAATCAAGCTCCGCCCCCCAAAATTGTGCAAGATCCAAGATGTGTTCACCTCTTAAAATTATTTTCAGCCCATTGTAACTAGACCTGCCAATTTTCAGGATTTTACTACCAAACCGAATAATGTTTTCTATATTGAACCAAACTGCTAATATATACCGCCTCTTTTGTACATTTAGGCCACGCCTACAAAATGGGTGGAAATTAACTGGTGTTCGAAAGCTAGAATGTTATATTTTATGTTTAAGTTTATTTCAAACCATAGAAAAACAAGGAAAATGGATGTTAAATACAGTTTTCATGAGTTTGTATTGTTTGCACCCCCTTTAAAAAAAAATCAAGCTCCGCCCCCAAAATGGGCAAGATCCAGGATGGGTCCCGATCTTAAAATGAATTCTAGCCCATTGGGACCCCACCTGCCAACTTTCATGCTTTTACCATAAAGTGCACTATTTGGGCCAAAAATAGACCTAAGCAGCTCCACTAATATAGCTTATAGCCCAATTTGCATGATTTCACATGATTTTCCATAAAATTTTGATATAGGGTTACTGTGCCAATAAGCAATTTGGTGAATTTAAGCTCATCAATACTGAGGTTTGGCAAGAGTACTTGATGATATCTGGAGACAAGGTAAATGCGCGCAACTTTAGGGTATAATAGCCATTTTGGATCGTTATTATGTCATAATAATATTCAGTCACTTATTATATTAGGCCTATGCTTTAAAACATGTTATTGAAGTAAGGGCGTGACCCCTGGCCAGTAGGCCTATGCAGTCGTCAAGGCCGGTGGTATACGGTGTAATAGGCGGCGGCACGGACGAGCCATGGATCTACCCTGTATTAGCTCCATGGACGGACTATAAAAAACCCGGCCAATTCCTGACTGGATTTCAAGTCTAGACCGCATCTAGTCCGAAAATTTGAGACTCTCAATACTATGTATGAGAGTCCCAACACTTTAGGTACTGAAAACATGCAATACAAGAAAATATACTGACATCTGCAACAACCAGTCAAATAACTTCTCAGTACTGCATCAATCATCAGTCGGCCGACTGTGCAAAAAGAAATATCTAGGATGTCGGGTACTCTAGAAAACTATTTCTACACATTTCTCCACAATTAAGCACCAGAGTAGTAACCTAATTGCCTCTCGTCTCCCATTAAAATTTTAACCCTCCTTTGGAAACATGCCGTGAGCCTCGTTATTACTTGGGTCAATATTGGTCAAGACCCCATTGGTTTGTTACTTAACACTATGCCAGGAGGTGAGGAAAGAAAGTTTGACCGTTTGTCACCTCGAAATAGTAGGTTAACTAATCATTTTACAATGAAATTTAACCCTGGCAGCCGAGGGTTTACTCTGAATAACAAAAAGCATCGAGGCCGTCCCAGTATTGTAAAGTATAGAAGTATTGGGATGCCTGGTTGGCTCATGGTCATGCAACTGCAAATCAATTTGGTGTGACGCCCGGATTTTTTTCTAGAGGGGGGCAAGGCATATTTTTCCCAAAAAAATCCTTTATTTCTCAACATATTCTCGATTTATCAATTTTAGAATGGGGCAGGGACATTTTGCCCCCCCCCACCCCATTAAATTTACACCACTATGACTTCGCGCCTCGTTTTCTTTTCTTTTTTCTCCCCCCCCCCTTTTTTTTCTTTTCGGGGGGGGGGGGGGCAAGTGCCCCCCCTCCCCCCTTGCGACGCCCATGTGGTGTGGTATCTGCAGTTATTGGGGATTTACAGTAGTACCACGTTTATGTACAATAATGGGAAAACAGTGCTGTTTGGGAAGTTGTCACTCACCCTGATCATTCCAACATAAGCCATGCCTTTGCTACCACCTCCTTCGAAGGCAAGATTCTCGAAGGGGAACTCATAGCCTTGGAATTCTGCTTTCTCCTCTGGCGTCAGCAGGGAGGAGAGTGGTTTAACCTTCTCAAAAGATGCCGACATCATTTCGGAAAACTGTACTGTCTAGTACGTGTATCATTTCATTTGTGCCAGATTAGTGATTATAGGCGCTATGCTTTGCTAATTTCCAACAATTTTCGGCTGAAGGTTCCCTGCACGTTCCACGGATCCTATACACACAAGGGTTCACGACCCCCGCTAAACTCCTGGTTAGACGCGTGATAACGGTCCGTACATGCACAGGTATAGCAATAATGAATATGGCTTGTCAACAAAGCTAGACCATGGAGCTAGGAACCAGGCAGCTTATAGCCTTGACCAAGGCTATTAGCTTGTTCCCATACGAGCTTGTTCCCGCTACCGCACACCGCGCGCGCCGCGACACAATCACTAGTTGTACTATACCGTTAGCCTCAACGACCCTTGCGTGTGCTTTGTGTGCATGTACGTACGCCCCACACACACTTCCGCAAACAGCCGTACAGTAAGTCGAGGCGGCAGATAACAATTTTTGAACAAACCCCTAACCCCTAGGCCCTTGTTGCTTACAACCATCCTCAATCCTCCAAAATCCTCCAAAATTTTCCAAAATTTTGAAACTCCGCCTAAATTTTTCAAAATTGTCAGACGTCCTGCCTCAAAATGCATTCATCCTCAATCCTCCAAAATCCTCCTCGTCCCAAAACTTTGCACTCGTGTTTAAATGAAGGATAACCAACGCCAAATCCTTCAAAATCTTCAGACAGTCCTGCCTCAAAATGCATTCATCCTCAATCCTCCAAAATCCTCTTGTAGTGGAGCTGCTTAGGTCCATTTTTGGCCCAAATCGTGCACTTTGTGGTAAAAGCATGAAATTTGGCAGGTGGGGTCCCAATGGGCTAGAATTCATTTTAAGATCGGGACCCATCCTGGATCTTGCCCATTTTGGGGGCGGAGCTTGATTTTTTTTAAAAGGGGGTGCAAACAATACAAACTCATGAAAACTGTATTTAACATCCATTTTCCCTGTTTTTCTATGGTTTGAAATAAACTTAGACATAAAATATAACATTCTAGCTTTCGAACACCAGTTAATGTCCACCCATTTTGGTAGGCGTGGCCTAAATGTACAAAAGAGGCGGTATATATTAGCAGTTTGGGTTTAATATAGAAAACATTATTCGGTTTGGTAGTAAAATCCTGAAAATTGGCAGGTCTAGTTAAAATGGGCTGAAAATAATTTTAAGAGGTGAACACATCTTGGATCTTGCACAATTTTGGGGGGCGGAGCTTGATTTTTCAAAAAGGGGAGTGCAAAAAATAAAAAACTCAGAAAAACTGTATTTAACATCCATTTTCCTTTGTTCTTCATGCTTGAAATAAACTTAGACATGAGAAATAACTTTATGAGAAATAACACGTTAAAATTGTGCAGCAGCAGGATTCCAGTCGAACCAGTGAGTTTGGTGGTTTGAGACATCATCTTACATTGAAAGACATCATCTTACATTGCCGACGCGCATGGCTATGGCGACGCGCGCGCATACCAGAAACCAGAGCCTTTTTTGGCCTAATAATCGTTTTCTTCGTTTTGTATGAATAAAAAGGAGTAAATGCTTCAGATTTCAAATATGCACTTGTCATTTACAAGGCTGGGTTGGGGCAACCTTGAAATTATAAAGCAAAATAGTTCTGCGCAAAAACTACTGCATTTATTAAAGTTCATAAAGTACAAATGATACCATATGTTTGTATGAATAAAGCATGGCATATGCTTTTTCTACCACTTTCGAAGCATTTACTCGCATCAGTATGAATGAAAATTAAGCAAACACTTTTACTAAAAACCATTTGCTCTTGAGTAAATGGCCTGCAAAATGTAAAGCTTTACATGTTTATAAGTTTGCAGAAAATAAAACTATCATAACCGAAACGGAAAGCGGCACCGGGGAGGGTCACGTGCTGGAGGACAGATACAAAAAAAGCGCATCAAACGCGACGAACGCAATGTCGTTTACGCGCTCAATGCGCTGTGCATCGGCACCCATGGTCTACATGTGGATTGGATTTTCAGTCCCTACCTGATTCCGTGGGTTTTCCCCAGACTATTCTTCTGGGGTTTTCCTCCCACCTCTAAAACTGTAATTTCTTCTCATTGTCTTCTCTCTACTTTTTTTTTCGGGGTTTGCGAGCTACAGTGCCTGGGGCATGCACTTTTGAGGATCCTTGGTTTCATTACCAGAAAAAAATTATTTATCGTTTACTTCGTTTCGTATGAATATAAAGGAGTAAATGCTTCAGATTTCAAATATGCACTTGTCATTTACAAGGCTGGGTTAGGGCAACCTTGAAATTATAAAGTAAAATACTACTGCGCAAAAATTACTGCATTTATTAATGTTAATCGCGAAAAAGTACAATTAATACCATACGGTAGTTCGTATGAATGGAAACTGGCATTTGCATTACTCCCATCTGTACGTTTCGTATGAATATAAAGGAGTAAATGCTTCAGATTTCAAATATGCACTTGTCATTCACAAGGCTGGGTTGGGGCAACCTTGAAATTATAAAGCAAATAATTCTGCGCAAAAGCTACAGCATTTATTATATGTTAATCGCGAAAAATTAATATTAACAAAGTTCATAAAGTACAAATGATACCATGTTCGTATGAATAAAACATGGCATTTGCTTTTACTGGTACTTCCAATTTTGAAGCATTTACTCGCATCTGTATGAATGAAAATTAAGCAAACACGTTCGTGTAGGTTTTATATGAATTAATCCCTAAACCCTATGATCTCAGAATAAATACAAGATTTCTATTGTTTTAGCCACTGTGACCTTGACCCTTGACCCTTCGACCCCCAATGCGATAGGCCTATGACCAAGAACGATCCACAAACCAAATTTGAAGTTCACATGTAAAGTATTTCTCAAGTTATCGCGCTGACAACATTTCTTTTGTTTTAGCCACTGTGACCTTGACCCTTGACCTTTTGGCCCCAAATGCAAAAAGCTTCTTAGGATTGCCAAGGACAATCTACAAACCAAATTTGAAGTTCATATGTAAAGTATATCTCAAGTTATTACGCTGACAAAATTTCTGTTGTTTTAGCCACCGTGACCTTGACCCTTGACCTTTCGGCCCCAAATGCAATAGGCTTTTTAGGATTACCAAGAAAAATACACAAACCAAATTTGAAGTTCATATGTAAAGTATTTCTCAAGTTATCGCGCTGACAAAATTTCTTTTGTTTTAGTCACTGTGACCTTGACCCTTGACCTTTCGGCCCCAAATGCAATAGGTTTTTTTAGGATTACCAAGGACAATCCACAAACCAAATTTGAAGTTCACATGTAAAGTATATCTCAAGTTATCACGCTGACAAGATTTGTCCGGACACACACACACACCCAGGTTTACGTTACATACCTTGTGTGGACATTCCTTTGTTTTCGTGTAGTTAAGAAAACTCGGTACAAAAAATAACTTTACTTAAACTGTGAAAACTCTTTCAACCCAATTTGTTTCTATGATTCCCTATAGTGTTTCTCTTCATTCTGCTACGGATAAACCTAACCCAAAAATGCCTCTAAACCTGTTTTCCAGAAAGGGCAAAACGTTATGTGGACACGGCTTAGTCCACATAACGTTAACACAACCTGCATTATGTGGACATCATTTGTTCACAAGTCCACATAGGGAATGTAAGACAAACTCACACACCCACCCACCCACGGAAGGACAAGGCGGAAACAGTATGCCCCTTCGGCTTCGCCGCGGGGCATAAAAACGCCTGAAAGGGCACCCCCTAGCACCCCCAACATTATTCCTTCCTTTTCAGTCAGTAACACATTACTCCCCCAAATCCCAACATCCATCTAATATAAATCCAACAGTACACACTGCAAGGAATGGACGCAGGCGCGGTTCTACCGGGGGGGGGGGGGGGGGGGAGGGGGGGGGGGGCTAGGGGGGCTGTAGCCCCCCAAATTTTGTCTAGCCCCCCCAAAAATAAATTCCGTAAAAAAAAATTGCATTAGCATAAAGAAGGATTGTGATGTACATGCGAACGGTCTCCCCTAAAGAAGAAATAGCTGTGACAAGGGTACATTAGTTAATATAGCGTGAATGATTTTAGGATTTTATTGGCGCTCCCCATTGAAAATATGGCATGAACCCCCCCCCCCCCCCCCCCCCCCCCCCCCACCTATTGATTTTCGGAGGCCTAAGTGTCTGGAAAAATAAACGGTCAACATTTCAGCACGCCTCCCTGAAAAAGTTCTGGATCCACCGTGCTAGCAGCCCCCCCCCCCTAAATATTGGTTCTAGAACCGCGCCTGAATGGACGTATATTCTGTGCACATTTTTATGTTTATATGCCTATATATATATATATATATATTAAACATATTAGAAAAGCAGAAATATCTGTCAACAAATAGTACTACAGTAAATACCGTCAGTACACAATGGTCTTAAGTACTTCCTCACAAACCAAATACTATAATAAACAAGTACGGGACAGCAAAATGCAATGTAAACTATTGCAAGAGCACTCAATGTTCTCATTTTTAAAACGAGGCTTTGCCCGGCCCGCTTTGCGAGAAGGGCAGCTTTGCCACCTGTCGCCAGAGATGTTATTGCAGCGTTTACAATCGGGCAATTCGGTAAATTCAGACGTACATGTCAGACACTTAAATGAGCTGCTGTTGGAAAAGTGAATGTGATACATTACTAATAATGTGACATTTAATGAGCAGAAAACAATTACAGACCAAAGTAAGGTACCACCACCTTAACGACCCTGTACATGTACATCATGTGGTCGGACGTACATTGTATTTTATAGAATTGCTCAATAATGAATAAACATAATTTACATACTAAAGAAAGATACTTCAGAATTTTCACAACCACCAAAATTAGTCCGTTTCGAATGAATTCTGTTCACAATGGGGTGTTGATGACTTCAGAAATTATAATTAAGAAAAATTGGATTTTTTCCCTTCACTGACGTAATTTTATAAACAGTGAATACTCCATAAGTGTTGTCAGAGAGCTTTTTCTTTAAGCAATATTCTAAAAGTCAAAGAATTGAAAGTTTAAGTTATTTGGGAGATTCACAATGCAGTGCACCACCAAGAGTTTGCCATGGAGAGTTCATTTTTCCCAGTGCATTGTGGGAGATGGTCGACAAATTCGCAGCGCGGGACATTTGAAATTGTAAGTTTTTTCAGGTCAGTAGTTTCGTAAGCGTGTGATTCAAGTATCTGCTTGCCCTTTTGTTTTCTTTATATCAATATGGTGTTTTTTGTAAGGCGGCAGAACACTATGCCCCAAAACAAATTAGCTCAAGTTGTGTCTACTGACACTCATTCAAATGGGCCATGTTTTGTCGACCGTAAACTTGAAAAATAGACTCTCCATGGCGAACTCTTGGTGGTGCACTGCATTGTGAATCGCCCGAATTGGATGTCAGTTATCTATTTTCACAATGTGTGCAAAATTGCATCTTCATTGTTACTCCTGGGAGGTGCACTTGCGAATCGGACTTGAAATTATCAACTAAGAACATCATATTTGAATTCACCTTGTATCCATCAGAATGCAGTTTCTTTAATGTCCTCGGCACCTCAGAATACACAATTCTAGACAAATAAAAATAGAGCATTGTAACTTGAGATTTTAATTGTTTTCACTTAAGTACTCCATAAAGAACTTGCACTCAGAGGCCCAGTTACTCAGACTTGTAATCAGAGGTGCAGGCACTCAGACTCAGCTTCACAAAACTTGTACTGGAAGGTCCAAGTACCTCGACTCAGGTACCGGTACGTGTACTCGTTCCAAAGGGTCAAAGTACTCGTGGTTACTCGATAGGTTGGTACTCCGCAACACTTTGTACTCCGATAAAAGTACTTGACTACAGCACTGGTTGTTTGTGGCAAAGGCCTTCATTTGTACGTAATATTTAATGATATATTAGGATGTACATGCATGTCGGAAAACTTGCCTCCAATCGTCGGCACTTGTAGCAAACACTTTTCCCGACTTTGTGGTAATGATTGTTCCATCCAGGTCAAATCCTGCAATCTAGGTGTAAAAAATTAAATAAAAGTGATAAATATTTCACATCAAAAAAGAAAAGTTCAAGGATATTTCAAAACTAATTATGTTGCAGTTCATGTTTATTGTTTAGGAAGGCTATTTTAGAAGGGTGTATTCCCAGTATTTTTGAGCAGTGTTTCTGGAGTTTCTAAGTTAGCATGATGGACAGAAATTTTAAAGAGGAGTTCATGACAAGTTCATGTACATAAACCTTCGTGTCCCACATACATCTATGTCTTTGTTTTGCCAAATTTGAGGCTGTCTTGCAGCCGTTTTTTAGAGCAGGGGGTACTGATGTGAAATTAAATTGATTTAATCGCCATTTCAAAAGAAAAAGAATAAATTTGCAACAGATCCAAAGAACACATGGAACTCATATCAAAGGGAAGAGCGAGGAAGTGTACAGGGTGGTCCTCAATTGGTCGTAAATATTACCTTCCGATTGGTGCCACGAAAAAAAACTTCAATTGATGATCGAAAGAATTAGTTGAGCCTTGGGTGTCCAAGGTTTGTTAGTCCGCCCTTACCATGGACCATGTACCACTTGTGGGGTACCTGACCTTTGTTCGAGGTACCCCACAAATAAAAAGTTTGGGGAAAAAAAGGTACCGCTACGAAATGATAGAAATAGGAAAGTCTGAATTTAGAATAAGGTTAAATAGTCCAAAGGTTCAAAAGTCCGAGACGAAAATAAGGTTTAAAAGTCCGCAGGTTTATTATTTCGAATTGACATCAAGGTTCGATAGTCCGAAAAGACCACAAGGTCCGATAGTCCAATCGACAATAAGGTCCGATAGTCCGAATCGACAATAAGGTCCGATAGTCCCAAGTGTCAGACTGACGAACCGTATTGCCCATTTGGACTACCGAACCTTATTCTCAATTCGGACTATCGAACATTATTGTCAATTCGGACTATCGAACCCTTCCGTATATTCGGACTATCGAACATTATCTTCTATTTGGACTATCGAACCTTATTGTCGATTCGGACTATCGAACCCTATCGTCTATTCGGACTATCGAACCGTTGGATTAATCAATCTTATTCTATTTTTTGACTAATAGGCCCAGTCGGACTATCAAACCTTCGGAATATCGAACCTTCGGACTAATGAACCTTCGGACTAACGAACCTTCGGACTAATGACCCTTCGGACTAAAGAACCTTCGCACCATTCGGACTATCAGTATGATACCCGTTTTAACCACGAAACAAACGCTCATAACGCTCACGGTGACTTGGTCCAGGTGGAATCCACAAAGCTAGCCTCGCCATTGCTTCCACAATATTCGTGTCTGGGTCGGGGTTAGGCCGTCCAACATGTAAAATGACCTCAACCGGTACAGCGTCTTTTTAGGTGCGACAAGTATTGCATCCCCCTGGAATAAACTACCCCCGTTGAAGTAATAGAAATTCTTGATGTCTTTTGGTATGATCCCAATTTCTTTCAGCATGATACCAACGTATACATCCTCCCAGGGAAAGAGAGGTGTCAGTAAAGACTGGAGGTACAACCTGTTCACCAAGTCCGTGGACATGATATAGCCAAGTCCCACACAATAATCCGGGTACGTTGATTTCGAGTAGATGTCTTTGGGCACGTAGAATTTCTCCCATTTATCACGGAGCACGGGGTACGACTTGGCCAAGCGGCCAGCGATGAGTACTCTCCTCGGCGCAGTGTGTAGGAACGCCAGAATCTTTGGTATGTTGACGATGATATCATCATCGGTTTTCATGACGTAGCGGGCGTCGGGGCAAAAGCGGCTGGCCCACTTGAGTCCCATCACGGTCTTGGTGGTCAGGTTCAGGTAGGAATCCAGGAAATCCTCCACAATTAGGTCGTCATACTCTTCCACCTCCCTCTGCAGGTCGCTAGGTAGAGTTCGTCCGCTGGTGAGGTTCGTGACTCCGAGAAGGAAGCGAACCCTGACCTCGGCGGACAGAGCCGTGCTCCCGCGCGGAGCTCCCCACGTCTCCCGGATGACGGCACGCCTCTCGTTGTTGTTCGGATGAGAAGTCACAAGTACCAGCAAGTCAATACGGTCGTGTGTCTGACAGGTGGTTGTGGCGGGATTGACCAGGTATCTGTAATCGTGAGGATCTATGTAAGATAACCACAGAGCATTATCCAGAATGCCACGGGTAGAAGGTTTCGATATGCGGGACGGGACGGTGGCATCCCGGTGTCGGCGCGGTTTCATATCGATATTCCTTACTACAGGACTTTGTGTCATCTCTCCGTCATCTGAGTTTTCTTTCCCGATTTCCCCGGCATCCGGTTTCGGTACATCATGCGATACTAGTACTGGTTTCTTGGTGTAATACCGCTTCTGTGCCATAACAGCCTTTGCTGTCAGCCTGCCTCTTGATCCATTGCTGTACCGATCAATGCAGACTCGATGTAGTCCCTTTGATGTCTTCAGAAACTTACACGATTGCCCATAATCCACGTTCTGGTATTTCTCTTTTCGCACATCCACAGGCGACCTCGATTTGGACAGTGCGTCGTCTGTTTTGCGAGAGGTTTGCAATGACTTGGAATCCTTGCGGTTCTGGTTCGTATCAGTCGCTAGAGTTTTCTCAGACAAACTTTCGGGTTTCTGTTTTATTTGCGCCATTTTCTTGACGGTGTCTAAAGATTGATTTGGAATTTGAGATCCCTGCCAATGAGGTCGGCCTACGTTTAGGAACGGTCCCCTTGCCATTTTATCCCGCAAATAGAACTCTTGATATCGTAACCTCTTTTGAGAAATCGGATCCACTATGAGGAACTTCCAAACAGCGAAATACACCGGCAGTATCAAGGCCGCTGCAGTGATTAGCAACAGTTGTAGGAAAGTTGTCCGCACGGCCATGATCGGTGCTGAAAATGCCGAAGACGAAGAGCCACAAATCCACGTTTAAATATCCTACTCTGTAGGCTGGTCGGTGAATAATACGTGGGTGATACAGTGGTAAAATGGAATTGGAGCTGTCCATTTCTCTATTATCTATATTATTTACTGGAGAAAAGCTGAAGATTCAGAACAGATCATCCCCGATGCGAAGAAATGTCTGGAAAATCCTTGTCGATTCATACTGCCAATCCATTCCGGCTTAACAGATTTCAAAAGGTGGAACATTCAGGAAAATGTTCTCGAGTCTCCCAAACAAACATTCAAAATGTTCAGTTGTATAGGCATATAGATGCAAACTTTTCCAGCTGCAACGTCGACCTGTTTTTCTGCAGACTTCAGGAAGCACAAAAAATTGTCTCAATGGATCAACACCCCCTTTTTTCAAATTGTGTTGACAACACGTTCAGCTCTTCCCCTGCAAATAAAAAGAGCAAACGTAATTTTATGTGCTTTTAAGATTTCACATGCTCGGAAAGGAGATGAAATGGAACATGTCTGAGCAGCTCATTTGGCCAAACGTGCTCAGCACATCCGGCTTAAGAAATTGATTTGGCCGGAAGTAAATTTGGGATGGATATTGACACTCAAAATTGTACGTAATTACGGTTTCCTGGTAGGAAGTGTTGTTAATTAAATTTTGAGGGGGAAAACAGCAAATGTAAACATATAAGATATTAAAGGTGAATGTAGATATTTATTGGCCATTTTTTAAAAGAAGTGGTGAAGAAATCTATTACATTAATACGAGTACATTAATGTTTCAACTGCTGACGAAAACTGTTGCTTTTTGATAAACAATGGATTAAACGTCGTTTATTTTAGCCCGAATGCTCAAGCAGTACGTGCAATCAACGCATCGTCTGATTACGTCAGCGCATGTGTGAAAGCACCCGTGGCTTATGACAAGGGCGGATCCAGGGGGGGGGGGGCCAAAGGGGGCCATGCCCCCCCCCCCCAAAAAAAAACGAAACCAATTTTTTTTTTTTTTTTTAATGTGACATCGCAATAAAGGCAGGCAATGAGTACACCACCATCTTTTCCTCAAAAAAAATTGGTTAAAGTGGTCAGAAATTGCCGCAGATCGCACCACAGAGCATCTAGAATCCAAAAAATTTTCGGGGCCCTCACGGGCCCCGAACCCCACGCCGTAATTTTTGAGACCCACTTTTTTGGGGGGACCAAATTTTTTTTGGCCCCCCCCCCAATTGTGTTCTGGATCCGCCCTTGGCTTATGAATAAATGAATTCGGGGATGATAATAATCAAGGAAATAATGGTTCGTGTTGCGATGTATCTTCTATCAACGTTACTTCGAGCCTGCTGTATCGAAAACAAAAAATATCAAAAATGTACGTATAAGACATCACTAGAATTTCGACGGACGGATCAGCTCGTGAGAATAGTAGAATAATAGGTTTTTTGCGTGTCCACCTTCCAGCAAGGATGCAATTTTTGGGCGCCCCTCCATTGTAACCCCAAGCCCCCCCTCCCAACACGCCCCCTACGATGAGAACCTTGGCTAGTCACACATCCAAGTATGCGCCTGCTATATACATCCCATCACAGGACTGATGAGGAATCTCAAGCAAGTCAAAATTTAGACTGGCAAAGTGCACAGGAAAGTAGTAATAAAAACAGTGATGACACGCGCGATTTACTAATCTTGCATAAAGGGCAGTAGGGCAGGTGCGACAGGCTTACCTTGAGTAGAAAGGACATTATAAATTACACTACAGGCCAAACAAGTACACTATAAACTGGACAAACTGTGTTCAAACTTTAAACTCCGCCCGCAGCGATGGTCTTGTGCTTTCTTAAATCGACTCTTGGTCGAGGCGTTTGCATATTGTTAGATATTAAATAGCCACTGCGTTTGTGTTTTGTTTGTTTGTTTGGTTGGTTGGGGTTTCGGAGATTCGAGTTCGACCCTCCTACCTCATTACAGTTCAATTGAGCTATATTTCTAGAGGACCTAACTAACTCACAATGTTGTTATGGAAGCCTAAAGGGTCTCAATGCCTTATTTATATCTTTTTTTCTTTAAAATTCAACAAATACGTTCGGGTTATGTTTCTCTTTTAATGTATTTTGACAGATAACACCGTCTACCACTGAAGAAAAACGGGGGGGGGGGGAATGTTGCAACCTGAGAGACGCCATCACTTCCGCGATTGTGTACAAAGTCCATGGAGAGTCAAGAATGTTTTTGAATGACCTTCATTGAGATGATATATGAAGAAAAAAGTGGCGTCGCGGGTTGCAACATTTTTCCCGACTTCTTTTTCAGTGCTATTTCCAACCCGATAGTTATAATTATTCGATGACACACTTTAATACTTGCACTTACCTCGTCATACAATGGCTGACAATCCTGCGTCGTGGTTGTTGTTGTTACTCGTTATACCTCTGTCAACTATATCAGAACTATTATTAAAGAGTGATACTTGCAATACGAATTCACACTGGCGTCACTAGAAATATCCCAACAACAGAGACCCACGGGCGATTGTGTTCGTGAGAAGAATCAAGAGTTATGGGAGGATGTGCACCGTTGTTCTTATTGATCGAACCCAACTCGCGCGCCCCCTTGGCCATCAACTATTAATACACCCTCGCTTTGTTATGGTGCATTCCGAATCGATTATTAAACAATGCTATTTGAATGGAGGCTGAAGAAATCGACATTTACAGAGCAGGTTACACTAAATTGCAATTGTGCAACACCCATGTTGAACATCTGACGGCCTTTTGTCCAGGATTGTCCATTGCCTATAGTATAAGGGTGCAATTCCTGCAATAAAATTCCCATAGACACTAGTGCTAAATGCCCATACTTCAAAATTCTGGATGAGCTGGAAGAGGCCCTCTAGTGACCTACCATTGGAATGATACAGATGCGGCCTCCCCAACTTCTCAACTGGTGTATTTGAGAGTACCATCTGGGACGTTTCAAACAACAGCAATATTAGCCATGGTCACTCGACCTTTAGCTCATGCCCACCTGACAATCTTGGTTTTATTGTTATCATTATTAAGACAATTCTATTTAATACATAATTAATCGGTGAGAAAAACGTATTTTATCTTCTTTTTTACCCGCACATATATCGAGAGCATGGATTCTAGACAAATACTTTACATACGCGTGCCGTTGATCAACAAGTCGAAGGAGAATCACACTTCTGACAAAATCTCATAATCAGACGTGGGAAATCAATAGCGAAACGTAGGCCCATTCTTTGAAAACGTTATACATTGTATAAACATCTCAATCTAACAACCATTATAACAACGTTATGGACGTTCAACAATTAATTTACTTATACACTAAAAAGACAAAACCCACTAAAAAGACCAAGCAATCAAATCGTCAATATTACCAAACGTCTTTAGAAAACACCATACTTTATACATTATGTACGCACTATTTCCATCGGTTCCGTTGGAAATCGTTAAAGCCAGAGTCCATCATTTGCAACTATCCAAAAAATAACTGGCGTAATTATTGTTGAAAAGCATACTTGGTTGAAAGATAGTAAGGGGACTAAACTCCCTGTGAAATTTTTCTTTCTGGCAAGCTGTCATTTTGAAGAAATCAACGAAAGAAGGCCTTTCCAACGGTGCGTCTTAAGAAGCACCGTAGGAAATTCAAATAAGTAGTTCGTTTTGTTATTCGCTGGATTCAGGCCCAATTCAAAACATGATTCGGCAACTTTTGATTTGAAATCGAGATCCTAGAATGTTGTTTTTTTCTCGAAAAATGCAGCTGAAGCTAAGCTGAAACTTCATCAGATTGGTTGTTCAGCATCCTTCTTCAGATATTGAGCACTTTTGTTGCTTCAAACGAACAAAATGCACAAATTACGAATGATGGACTATACCTTTAATGCGGATGATTAAGTTTTTTCCAGGACAAAGTTGGTTATACTTGCCACTGAATTAATTAAGAGCCAACAGGAATGTATCAATGACTGAATTCTATACCTGCTTTGTGTGAAACGTTAAAATTCGTTTTAAACGGGTGAGTTTAAATCTCCTTTGGGAGTTTCCTTGGCTTGGATCTCTATCTGTATATTCAGATCGGTCTATTTTGTAGCAGATGCATCTTCCCCTGGTGTCGATTTCCTCGGTGGGTTCTTGGTTGCTATGTACTCCCGCAAGAAAGACAGAGTGGCCTGCTTTCCACACTGTGATAAGAACAACACAAATTTCCATGGAAACTCAGTCATTTATTTATAAGGATATTCATCAAAGATCATTTTATTTCTCAAATGCTTGAGGAAGCCTTTTCAAAGTTGATGTACACCATTCGAAAACATTCCCAAAACGAAACTGCCGAAATACATGTACTTTGAATTATCTTACTTGATTGTACGCAAATAATGGGCTCAAGCTTCCTGTAAAATAATTGTTGTGAAATCTAGTGTGCTGTCATTGTTCAAGAAAAGAGGAATCGCTGCAGTTGTTTCAATTCCTCGGTTTTTTTTTAATACTGCCCCAACTGGCCGAAATTTAGTTCAATTTGCAATCGGTTACATAATTATCTGTGAATGATTTTTTTCCCGAGTAACGAACGGGATCATGTACAACGAGAGGGTGTATAAAGTGTGACGGAAACCTCGCTTTGCGTCGAGAAAAATGAAGAAAAATTATTCATTTTCATAGTTTTCTCAAAAAAAGTAGACCTGAGCTGAAATTTCGACAAGTAATTTTTTTTTAAATATTCTAATTCAGTTTTATTAAACTGTTATTCCCTGTATCGACAAAGGTTCCCTTTTTTGACAATTGATGTTTCCATTACTTTTCATCTTTTAAAAACTGCCTTTTTATTTTACAGAGGCCAAGTGTCCGGAATAAATAAGGTGTCTACATCTCACCACGGATGGGCAAGGGCCCTTTTCAAGAAATCCCCCCCCCCAATAAATATGACCGTGCTACGCCACTGGGTCTTATCCACGTACCTGTATCAGGAAGTTTTTATCGGCCCGCTCCGAGTTCCAATCAAAGGATTCTAAGTATTTTGTGTTGATGCCAATGGTACGACTGTAATCGGTGTTCTAAAGGGGGAAAACAGAAAATAACGAATGGTCAGAAGTAATATGTACGAGTTATGAAAGCCGTCTTTCCAAATGCGCGTTTTTAGTCCATCCTGTGTCCGCTGCGCGCGTTGGAAACAAACTGGCTTTTTTTTCAAATACTGGCCCCAATTGACCATCGCACTTGTTTGCAATCGATTACACACCTATGAACGAGTACAAGCCAGCTAGACTGGTTCCCTGACCTTACAATTCCCCAATGTATGTAAAGTGCTCTGTTTCTTCTTATATGTAGTCAGGGAACCAGACTTCAGGAAAATGATTGTTTTTCTTGGTTTTTATAGCATTTTCGAACCCAAAACCTCAAAAAAATTCAGTGTAACTATATTTGCTATATATTTCCAACCCCCCAATTCCATCCATTTCTGAAAATTACAGCAAAAGCAAATGATGTATATTCCCTTTAAGAAGTGGCCTTAGCACGCAACGAACAAGGTACCAGCCTGATATTTCCCATGTGAAAAGGTGGTTTGACGACTTGGTAAAGTTTCTTACCCTGGTTGTGATTCGCATAACGTTGAGCAGCAGCGTATCCGCCATGGTGGCAAACAAGTCTGTCACTCCCTTGATTTCACACCGTTCATACCCATTCATTGTCTGAAGGAGGTTTATTCCTCGCTTTGCTGCTTGTTCGACAACCTCTTGGTAGTCTATCTGTTAGGTTGGTATTGGGAAAAAGACACACAGTCATTTCATACAACAGTAGGCCTAGTTGTCTCAGTGAACATTCTATTACATTAATTTAAAAATATTGAGATACGTCCGTATGGCTATAACAAACCTTTGACTCATGCCACCTTGATACTTTCAGCGGCGGCGGAACGGTTTTCAAACTGGGGGGGGGGGATCACCAAAAACTCGAGGGTCACTTTTATTACCGCAAGAGGGGCACTTGGGTAAATGGGGGCAAGTGCCCCCCCCCCCCCCCTCCCCCTCCCCTCCCCGGTTCCGCCGCCCCTGGATACTATCGCTGTCTGCCCTATCTGGCCATGCGTTTCGGTTAGATCACCGAATTTCAAAATTGAATTGATCGAGCGAGCAACAAGCGCAACACATACCAAGCTTCCCATTCGTTTAACTTTAATGTTATCCAACAGGCATTCCAGGCATTTGACAAAAAAATAATTGTATTTTTACCTTGGCATTATTATGTCTTATTCTAGTCATAAAAAACACATTCATGGCCACCGTTATACATTTGGTGCGTGATCACAATAGCCTACATGTAAATACATTACATGTTCGCGTACATGTCAAATCGAACTTCTTTTTTTTTGACCTATAGTAAACTGCAATTATGTTTCAAATAAAAGATCTCACCTGACCGTTATTGTCCTTGTCTACAACATCGAAGATAGCATCCGGGTCATTCTCACACTCAAAAAGAAGCTTTACGTCATCAGCAGACAAGGTCACGTTATCGTTCTGCAGAACAAGAAGAACTTCACAATTGAATACATGTATAATGTTGGTTATGTTCATGACCATTTGAGCATGGAGGACGAAAAGTGGATATCTGCTTTTCTGCTTTTCTGGTATAGCAGAAAGGCAGAAAAGCAGAAAATGGAATTTTTAAAAACGCTCAATCAAACTTTCTGCTATTTTGAAAACAGAAGAGAAAATATATTAATATATACACTTTTCGTCCGCCATAATTATTTTAGTAAAGAGAAGTTGAGTCTGCAGACCATTCCGTGTCCAACTGAAGCATGCACATTATGGTTTTACTGACTATACTTTCTTGTAGAAAACAAATAATGGTTATTCAGCCCACATTACGTTTGTTTCAAAAGAGCTGGAAAAGGATGGCCTTCTTTCAAAATGTACAGTTCGGCACGCGGACAAAGTCGACTGCAACACTGACAAGTAGGCCTACTGATTAGAATAGAAGGAAGTTTCGTTAATAGAGTAGCTATGATTTCACAGACCTTCTTCCCCAGGGCATTGCGAAACTCCTCTCTGGAGATAATACCATTCTGATCCGTATCTGAATCTTTTAAAATCTTCATGAAGTTGTCCATGGCTTGATGCATGCCTTCCGTAGCTTGGCTGTGTCGTTCTTTCTTCTTTTTAATCTTTCTGTATTTTTAAAACACATTCGTTGAAGAAAGTCAGGTTAAAGTGGCATTACGGACTGGAATGCGTACAATTGGGCTACAAAAAACAACAACATTTTAAACGAATGATTACATTAAATAGAAGGAGGTTAAGGAGCATTTCAATCTAGAATGTAAACGTCCACACAACCATCCTTTAAAACTCGGCGGTTTTGTGTTTAATATAATTGCGAGAACCATGCGAGAACGAATTTCAGGGTTTACAACTTTGTCCCAAAAATCGAGCTGTTTAGTACTATTTCTGGTTGTAGTGTGGTCGTCTTCTTCAGACGTGTATGAAACAACATTTGTGTGTTGGTGATTCGTCTGGTTCCCTGACCTGACAATTTCCGCCGACGCCCAGACATGTCTAAGGTCTATGTCGGGCCCCTCCGCAGCTATAAAATAAACAGGACGACACTGACGGCCCTGTTTCAAAACTCGGCTTAGTTTCCGACTTCGATTCATCAATTATAGCTTTTAATGTTCCGATCAAATTTTCAAAAACATACTTCATCCAGTCATTATTTCTCAAAAGATTACGGG